AATGGCGTTGGAAAAGGGCCTGGTGGTTGGACCATTGTCTAATACCCGTCCTCGAGCAATACCGGTATTTGGCCGAGAGGCTGACGCACTTATGACACTCAAGTAAAGTTCCCTCATCCATTCCCAATGGATTATGATAAGGAAAACCCAAGCCTTGACATACTCTACTCGAGTACCCGACCGGTACGAGTACGGTAGTATGATATGATACATTCTTTTTCTCTGCATGCATTGCACACCCACCACGAATACGGTACCGTACTATACAGTACCCTAGCCTCCTCCATCACTACCGGCACCATTTCCATCTCCACCACCATCACAATCGTCGCTGCCCACCCTCCATCGCCGAACTACATCACTACACACCCCTGTTATCATCCTCCTTAATTTTCCCCTGAAGGGTCTCACATGAGTGGCGGGCTTTTCTCTCTTTGTCCCTATGACACGATTCTCAAAGGTCATCTGAGGCGAGGCTGACCTTTTTTCTACGAGTATAATTGACACCGTCAGCCTCCTACCGCAACATCGAAATGGATCCCTTTCCGACCCTTTCGAGTCTGATCAAACTCAAGGTTACCCTTTTGCTTTCGTTTTCCTGCCCACGCGAACAAAACCGTGGGAAACATAATTGGAGAACAAATGCTGATTAAAAAACATAGGACCGCACCGAAATCCCACACAGCCTCACCCTAACCACACCACACCACACCACACTAACCCCTCCCCCCCCTCTACCGCACCGCACGATATGACAAAACCCAACGTCAATGATTCCCTCAGCTCGAATTTGTAACAAAAATAACAAGATCACATGACGTACTTACACACCTACCGGTATTCCGATCACCGGCGAAAAACCATTGCCGACCTCTTGGTGTCGGTCATGGGTGCCTGGAGCCCTCTCTGCAAGCTCCGGCGTTCGGAATGGTCGGGGTTGGCACGGACCAGTCGGCCATCCCTCCTTCATAATACCGGTATGGCGAGTTTCACGGAATATTAACTCGAAAGCTAGAGGAGTACCGGTGCGGTACCCAGGTTGAAGGGGCATGGCTCGGGTCTTCCGACAGTGAACCGGTCAATGAACGTTTCTGACCGGGAGGACCTGCTGAGAATTTACTCGTACGTAGGTACGGTCTCGACGGTTGTTGCTCCGATAATATAGTACAAACGAAGGGATTCTAGATCAATTGCAATGAGGTTATCCCTTGGGCCCTCTGCTGTAAAATTGGCTGCTAGGTGTGCCAAGGCTAACTTTGTCGCTAGTTACCCGTCCTAGGCAATGGGTATGGTACCCTAAAATACGACTGGTGGGTTTGTATGGCGCTCAGATATGCACGGACCTTTTGACATATATTTCTCGAATCCCGGGCCCCATTTCTTCTTGCTGGGGACGAATAGCTGTGTCGGGTCAGAAAACAGTATTTTTCGTTCAGTTCAAATATTTTCAGCTAATCGGAAACTCGAATCGTCTCAAGACAGGCTTAGCGTGCCTGGCATCGAATTTTACTCTTTCAGATCGCCCAAGGGACACCAGTTTTGGACTGCGTTGCTCCTACCGTGCGAGCTTGGAAACTGGCACCCCCTGGGTTTCCATACAAAATGAGCAATATTAACCAACCAACACAAAGGCGCACAGCAAAATTTCTTCCTCAAACAGTGATCAGATGGAGGAGAATCACGGGGAATTTGGCATAAAATTCCGATGATTTTTTTTTTGCCCTGCTGAACGTTGGCGGTGGCGGGTACGGTAGACGAAGCTGGTCGGTATGGTTGCCATTTGCAAACCTCATCCCTTGATCTGTGTGCATAGATTTCGCAGCTTTTTAGTGTGGTTAATGCGCTGGGTTAGCCTCCGATCTTTACCAAAGGCAGTATTATCGGGGAGCTCTTGCCGTGACCTGATCAGTAGAAAACATTTACGCAATCGCCACACTTGAACTATTCCTAATCTTGGGATATTCTAGGGAACTAAAAAGCGACAAATACTGACGAAGGGGTACGGTATCAGCAAATTACCCATCTTGGCAATGTTTTGGGTTTGCTTGTTGTCCAGGACTCTAGTGTTCGGGATTTCTAGAACGGTTTTTGTAACATGGCCCTCAATTATGTGAGTCTCCGCGTCAAATTGTGCTATCGAAAAAGAATCCCCAGATTTTTTTCAAGGCTATGCTGGTAAGTAGTCGCCTGTTGAAAATTGGCATCTTATAATGGGAAACCTGGTAAGTGTCGGTTTCCTTTGTCGCCAAGATCACACAAGGCAAAGCTGGGTGGGAGTGGAGCTACCGTATCTCTTCGTAGATGTTGGATTCACACTACGCACTTGCATAATTGCATTTTTCTGTTTGCTTAATGTCTGGTGGTTTGGGATTTTCGTGCCCTCTCGCTAGCTCGGTTGCCCTTAAGTTAGCTCCGGTCGGCCTTTGCGGCGTGGTACGGTGTACTGCTTGGGGGCAGGAACGTGAGGTTAGCTGCCATGTGGATGTCTTTTGGACGGTGGTGTTGGTTGAATGGGTAGGTGGGTAGGTTGGTGAGTGATGATGATTCTAATTTCTAAAGCTACTGCCGTTGGTGAAGGGAGGGTTGGGCTACGGATTTGAATCGCGGAGTTTTGTTCACCACCTCCCTCCAAATCCCCTCCATCTGCTCTCTCTCCATCATGATAATCTTCAGCATTCAATTCTACATTTACGTGTCCAGGCAACTGCTACCGCAGCAAGTCTCAAGCCCTTAGCAAAACTCCCAACCGCTTCACCAGAAGTGTCTAAACCCCCAACAATCCTTAGTGCAGCCGGAACCTAAGATGGTTCCATGGTCAATTCTGTCCTTGAGCACCTGTAGCTCTCGAGGGACTTCACCCTAGGGGTATCACCTAGACCCTGCGAAGCCTAAAGCTGACGTGTTGGGGGGAGCACGGAGTTGAGGTAGTCCAGGCGGACTCGAACGACAAAGAGTCCTTACTGGCTCCATTGAGGCGCCGCATTTGGTGTATTTCGCCGTGAGCTGTTCGTCATCCCCTTGGTTTGCTCCTTCGGCGAGAGAGAGGTGGATGGTGGCGATGGCTAATGAAGTGTAGGCTACGAAACCCTATACAAAGAGAAGGAAATCCAGCACGGTAAGAATGTCACCAACATCACAAGCGAAGTTGGTGTTGAGCATTAAATTTTTACACTCGCCTTCTTTACCAGATGCCTCGAAACGTGCCCTTCCCCACCCTCCCACCTCTCGAAAAAACAAAAGAAAGATAGGTAGAAAGAAAGAAAAAAGAAGTCTGCTGGTCAATCATTGGCTTACAGTCTCGGATGGAGAATGCTTCACTTCAACAACCACTATCCAATCCTACACCTAGACCACGCACCCTGCTCTCGCATCTACATCCCTCATTACGAGTCCGTACACGTCTACCCTTATCTCCAACACCCAATAACCCCTTCCTTACTCCCCTCCCTCTCTTGCTCATAATCCTCTGACGTTTATGACCACAGCTGCTGCTGCATATGGGAAAAAAGTTGCCCGAAGCCTCAATATTTCGGTGGTATGCAATAGCAGTCGTGTTCACAAACGTCAGTGAACCACGAGTAGATGCAGGCTCCGACACGGACATCTTCGTCGCTGGTATCCTCCTAAACCGGATCCACGCTTCTGGAAGAGGAAGTCTAGGCGCAGCAGACTACCGTGCTGCCCCCTTACAAATAATTCAAGCATTCTCCCCGCATGGAGAGCGCATACACCTGTGGGGGCTAGTTGTTCGAGAGCTTTTGCCAACGCAGATCATGTAGAAGGTGCCTGGGAAGTTTAAGTTCGCAGCAGGGTTCGGGCACTTTGAAGGAGGGGTATTAGGTGGGCAGTTCAGGAAGTGGCGGGCAGGGGAAGTACAAGTAGATCGGTCGGTTGGCCGGTGATGGATTTGGTGGATTTGGATTTGTAGATGATACGGTAGAAACTTGAATACCTGGACCATATGCCATACCGTACCCGTCACAGGCAAGCATCGGAAAACAGGGATTCGCAAAATATATGGCAAAAAAATTCCGTGCGCATCAGAAGCTCACAATTCGAATTTTTGAATAGGGTACGACAAGGTACTCCAAAATTCCCTACTCTGGAAAAGCGGCAAAATGTGAGCCGCCACGAGACATAAAAGAAGCGAAAAAAAGCAGCAAACCTTGCAAGAGGAGGCAATTCCAACGATATATTTACTCTGCCCAATCATTCGAATCCCCCACTCCACGGTTCAGTTATCTGTACGAGTACTTGTATGACATCGTAGCTAGTAGCAAGCAAGCAAGCATGCATAAGTTGACCCGGACCTCGAACCCCCTGCGCTATCTGATCATGCCAGCACTATAAACTTTGACTAGTTACGGTACTGTGCAGCACACTTCACACTTCACAATACTGCCCCCACCTATCCCACCTCGTCCAACTTCCCCCCCTACGGCACTGTAGGTTTATTCCACTGACAAACCCTGCCCTGCCCTGCCCCGCCCTACAAGTACTTGTACCTTACCCTACCTCGCGGTTGTCATCACTCGTGTGCAGCGGGACTTACCGCTGCAAAGCCTCAGGGCGGGCTCCTCGTAATTTACACGTCCCCATTTGTTGAGAGTTCGTCCTCGGCTTATCCGAGTTCGGCAACAGGCGCGGGGGGGGGGTGCTTTTTAGGGGGAGGCTCCATAACTTCTGGAAACTTTAGATGGGCTTCTCTCTGGTTCTGTCATTTGATAAAGTAGACTAGACTATTGGTTGGGGACGGTAAGAAAGGGTGAGCATGCATGCGAATTTATGCCAAGATGTTCCTTTTTTTTTTGTATAATATTATATTACTAAGTGAAAGAAAAAAAAAACCCCCTTATGAGCAAGAAGTACTTAGGTTTTTGGTGTCGGGCACTGTAAATGATACTGTGTTCAATACAGTAATTTGATTGTTTCCTATCAGCCCCCCTTTGCCTATCCTTCACATTATATTGGAGTGGTTACGGTATAAGCTTTATCCTACGATGGCCCCTGCGTTTACCCTTCCGACGCCTCCTCCGGAATTGGAGGAGGTTCCTTTTCAAAGTTTAGATGGTATGTGTGATGGTTAATGACTTATAGTGCCATTTTACGATTCTGGTAACCATGTGGCGGGAGCTGACGTGCGGGTCGTGGTTATGATAGTTCTTGGTCTTCCGGCATTGTACACTAGGCCTCCAATGGATGTCTTGCTTTCTACACTGGATGGACTGGCCCTCGCACCGACTTCATGGGAGGGGCGTGGAGAAGGGGTTGTTGATCCTCCGGGGTTGAGCAAGTGGTTGACAAGTATAATTGCCAGTCCATTGAAGTGGATCGGAAACGATGAGGTCAAGGAGATGGTATGGGAGGCTGCGAGCACGCGGTTGGCGGAGAGGTGTGGGCGATCAGGTATTTTCTCGTTCTCTCCCTCCCTCCCTATTGTAACAGTAATAATCGTTAACAAAGTGCTATAGCCATGCCTTCACAAACAAGAACTTTCCGGATCCCTCTCCCCTCTTCCCAAAAAACTGTCAGCCTTTCCCTCCGTGAACCAACTCTTACAGCAGACAACCTTGGATTAAAAACATGGGCCTCTTCGTACCTCCTATCCAAACGCCTTCCTTTACTAGGCCTTCCGACCTTTTCATCCACCGCGAAAGCTTTAGAACTCGGAGCTGGTACGGGTTTGGTCGGGTTAGCTGCGGCGGCAATCTTTAAAATTCCAGTTCTCCTTACCGACTTGCCAGATATAGTGCCTAATCTACAACACAACGCAAATACAAACTCTGCGTCTGGAACCGTGGTTTCGGTTGCGGTGATGGACTGGAGGGACAGAGTAGATGAGACTGTGTCCGAGGGTGAAAAGTATGACTTGGTTCTTGCGGCGGATCCCCTTTATTCGCCAGAGCATCCGGGACTGCTTGTTGGGATGGTTGGTAAGTGGTTGAAGAAGGGAAGCCATGGCAGGGTCGTGGTTGAGATGCCGTTAAGGGATGGGTATAGCCCTGAGAGGCGCGACTTTAGAGGTAGGATGGAAAGTGTTGGGTTGGAGATCAGAAGCGAAGGGGTTGAGACTGGTGTCGATGACTGGGGAGCTGGAGGCGAGGTTGAATGTTGGTGGAGCGTTTGGGGATGGAACGGGGGCTGTTCCGTCAGGGTGTCGGATGATGGTAGTTTGGATTGACAGGATTTCAGGGTTCCGGGTGCGTTCGGAATTGATGCGGGTATTTGTCAAGGTAAGCATTTTCCATTGCCCGACGGGTTAGACATCATTAGAGTTATTAGAATAGAAGCCATGATAGATGGGATGGGATGAATGAGGCGAATGAATTGAATTTCTCGGGGATTGTTTCTACAGCGTTTAATGAGCCGTGATGTCATCACCGACAGGAATCCTGCATAGCCTTGCTGTTACTGTTGACATTGCCACGGTATGGGGCTCCTTCACCCCGTAACCTATCGTACGGTAGGGATAGTCTACCGTGCAACAGAGAAACAACCACACGCCTTATCAAGCCTCAATTGCATCTTAAATTTACTCGAGTACAGTACAATGCCAATGTGATGAGCCACACCTGGGAGGGCACGCCCGAAGCCTTTCACCTCCTTCCTTCCTTGCTTCCCACGTGGAAGCATTCCCCGGCAAAGTTTGGGGCTTGGGACCGTTTTCCAGTTCTGCATGATTCCGAAGAGGTACCCATCCTTCAAAGTGAGATTAGCAACCGCTCCCGAGTACCGGTGGTACTATACTGGAGTACAGTAATGGTGGTGGAGTTCTGCGAGTGAGCTGGACTGAATTTACTTGATAGGGTGCCCAGAACGATAGGTACTGTAGCGAGAACCATCGCCTCCCTCTGGTGGGTTGGTGTTTTTCATTCAGGCTGGCTGGGTACGGTGTCAGATGTCTCCTTCGGGGGGGGGGCCTGGTTCTCGCTAACCCATCGTTCCCAGGACCATGTCAAGTCCTGGAGTCCCGTAGCCTATACTGGTAATTTTTCTGGCGTTTGCGAACAATTGCGTACTACCAAAACCTTGATCCTCCGGCCATTTTTCTCCCCATATGCAGTCGCAGCCGTGTTCATAAAATTCAGAAAGTTGCGACATGGTGAGGGACCTCTGTAGTAGTCTGTACAGTAGTCTAGTCGCGGGAACATCCAGACATTCATCCAAGCTCTGGAATAGTATGTTAATAAGCCAAGCATTGTCTCTTATACAAGTTAATCAATAAGCCCTTGGCAATTGCCCATTAACTGTTTGTGCCAAGAAAGTTATCAGTAATCAACATGTCCCGGACATTCCTTGACTTCAACCTACTGTACTCGAGTACTTTTAAACCACAGAGCCTGGGATATTTTGATTTTATCTCTATTAATGGTGGAGGATCGCCTACTTTGTCATCTGATAGAGCCATTAATTCTCAGGGAGTAGTTGTTGAAAATACTTTGGGGGATTGAAGTTGGGGTATATTTTCTTGGCAAAGTATCATACTCCAGCTACAGTACCGCACGGAGCGTGTACAGAGGTCCTTCACCACTAAGAAACTCGATTAAACGGTCCTTATGCTGGGACGTTGGGCTTGCCTCTCTTGGTAAGGTCTAGTCTTTTTTTCTTTTCTTTTTTTTTTTGTCTCCGAGAGGGGGAAACTTTGGACCACCTAGCACAAGGATCGTTTCTTCGAGTTCCTGGGTAGGGGAATCCTACCGTACGGGCAAAAAGACCACAAAAGTGCCTATATTGTACGAGTACAGTACCAATTCGTGACCCACACCCGAGCACTCGCAAGGCGCATACGACAGATAACCATCTCTAATATCATTGAGTGACGGTCGGAAAATTGGGGGAAACGTGGTGGTGATAGGTTGCATCCACTCATGACGTCTCATTGCATTTCAAAAAGGAATATGGGGTGCCAACGAGGACGCCCCCAATATCGGAAGGCATGGAAAAGCATTCTTTGGACACTTTCTTTCCGTGGAATGGTGCGGGGAACCCCTGTGAAAATCTTTTTCTCCTCACCTTCTATAATTGTTCCTTTTTCTTTTTCTTTTCCTTCCTTATTCATTGGAGCAGATGGGGTGGGAAATCACCTGATTAAGGATATCCTGGACTTTTGGCAAAGCCAATAGAGTGGGGAATATGGTTGCGGTTCTGTGGCTCTCATGGCGTTTATTGGAAGAAAGAGAATTGCCTGTTATCGCTAGCTCTGTGGATTTATTCGTGGGCTACAAGAAAATCCGTAGCAGGCACCCGACTCGAGTAAGATACCTCAAAACAACCCCAATCCAAAGCGAATAAAGATTTAATGATAAAGAATATGAAAAACATCGAGCGATACCCGGTCGGCTGTTCCATCCATGATTCCATGTTGAGTATTCTTGCGGAAGGGATATTTCCCGCCCATACAGGGGAATTAACCTTGTGAGTAGCAATGAGATAAATATTCTTTTTTATCAACTGCCTTCCCCCTTGTTCTTCCACAAAGCTGAGTCGAGCTTCCAGTCTGTTTGAATCCTACGCCTGTTTGGGGCAGGGTAATTGGCCGGTAGCATTGCTGCTTCCAAGTTATTTTCAGGGATTGCAGTGGTTATGCCTTATTGCCAGTTGCTGTCATCTGGGAGATCGGTTTACGATGCAGCTCCATGAGAACTAAGCACGCCTCCGCACTGTACGATACTCGATTTGTGCTTATTGCGCAAAACGAGTTCGTGATGGGGGGAAAATCTTTGCATAACTCTACTCGAGCACAAGCTAACTGTTGTCTATAACCCAGTTGTCTTTCCTGGTTGGTGCTCGCTCCTTGCGGTGGGGATTCGAAAGTGGTGCCTGAGATGCCTCTTTGGGGCATTTTGATCTGTCAGGAAGCTGGCGGCGTTCTCCAGAGACGCACACCAGAACCTGACAGATAGCTGCCGCACATAGTCTAGCGAATGGCTACATACCAAGTTGTCCGTTGAGGGCACTTCACATCCTCAAGTACTCGTACTTGTATTCGAGTATTCGAGCGCAGTACGCTAACCGATGTGTCGGCCTTCTTTTGTGGGTTTTGCGGGGTTGTTGTCGCCCTTGTGAAAAAGGGTAGTGTATTATGTCAGCCTTGTGGGAATATCACCACACACGACTTTCGCTGGGATCGGTACCGGTATTGTATGAAGGGCATACCGGCATGGCATGTCTACTCGGAGGGTAGCTGGGGGAGCAAGAGTCCACACTGGGGGGACCTGTTTATGGTCTTCAGCTACCCCTTTGAGGCACTTTGGGGTACTTGTACCATTCGCCCATGAGTTGAGTGAGCTTTGATTGGCGAATTGGGGGACGAACGCGACGCGACGCGCAATGCTACAGTACATAAATCTTCGTTGCAAAGAGCGGGGTTACCGGTAGAATAACAGCGCACCGTGACGGTTGCACTGCTTTTTTAATCTTTCTTCCGTTCTCCATCAACCATATACTTTTCAAGGCGGGCGGGCAAGCGAGCGTGATTCCTCTTTCCCCCTTTCTCCATCAGCCATATATCATTTTCGAGGCGGGCAGGCAAGCAAGCATCATTTCTGTTTTCCCCTCCCTTCCGACTCCAAATTTTTCCCCATACCGGCCGTGCTGCTTGAAGAGGAAAAATAAATAAAAGTACTTAAAAAGGTACCAAGATGTACCTATTTGGTGCGGGGTACAAGCCAATGCCACTTCATCAACAACCCATATAACTGAACATCCAACCCCCTCACTTCGAGAGCCTGCGTTCTGAGAGCTCCTTGACCACACACGCATCACCTCTAGACAAATCAAATTAACTTGCTTGTGGACCACGTTTCTCCTCGGCTCTTTACTGACGAATGGGCACCCTCCGGAAATTACTCGAGAAACACGGCAAGAGGAAAGCCATTGTTGGTTTGACAGCATGGGATTACCCTAGCGGTCTTTTGGCCCAACGTGCAGGTGGGATTGATATGGTCCTCGTGAGCGACTCTCTGGGGAAGATCGTATTGGGACTTCCCGGGTCAATTGGGTTGAGTTTGGACGTGAGTGCACCCGTTCGGAGGCTTCTTCATAATTATCATCATTAGGTTTTGCTCGTTGTTATTACCTCTTGTCACTTGATTTTATCCCTTTTTTCCATCTTGGTCCCCGCAAACCATCTGTATCTTCATCGCCACCATCATGCTTCATCATCCTCGTCATGTCTCCGGGGTCTAATTGTTAGGGCACGGGCGCAGGATATGATTCATCATGCTAAAGCAGTTGCCCGCGCTGTCAAAACCCCATTCTTGCTGGCTGATTTACCAATGGGAAGTTATGAGATATCACCGGAACAAGGTCCTTACTTTCTCACTCATTCATTCCTCTCTCTCTCTCTCTCTTTCTCTCTCTCTACCCACGTCGGGGAGAAGCGTAAGCTAGAGCTAGTGCTGATCATGTTGTCGAAACTACAGCCCTGACGTCCGCCATCCGCATGATCAAAGAAGCGCCTGGGGTATCGGGGGTAAAGCTCGAGGGCGGTAAAGAAATAATTCCACAGGTTTCCAAGATCACCTCTGCCGGCATCCCGGTGTTTTGTCAGGTGGGCATAACACCGCAGCGAACGATCCAGACGGCGAATGATGAGGAGGGCACGGGGAGGAGTGAAGTGAGCGTTAGTACTCCCAGTGTTCACCTGGTATCGACGGAGAAGGGGTGCTTGTGGACGGAGCTCGCATGAGCTTTGGTTGGGTTTGGTTCATTTTTTCTGAGGAAATTTACCAGGCTAGTGAGATATTCGACGATGCGATATGCCTTCAGAATGCTGGCGCTGTGGGCATCATGTTGACTGCTGTGTCGCAAGAAGCAGCGAAGCTGATGAGGGATCATCTGACGGTTCCCACTATTGGTATAGGGTATGGCCTTTTCGCTTTTGGGGCTGTTTGTAAGGTTTGAGTAGGGCTTGTTTGACGATTGAATGGTCCAGTTCCGGTAAACTCTGTGACGGGCAGATGGTATTCCAATCTGAGATTTTAGGTTATCAAGATCCTTGTGTTCCCCAGTGCGTTGTGCCCCCGGTCATCTGAGCCTTTGAGCACCTCTGACGTCCGTGATAGATGGCATAGTCAATTCGAGTCAATTGGAGCAAAGTCGCTCACCGCGATCCGTAACTACGTGAAGGAGGTTGGCGAGGGGGAATTCCCGGGCGATGAATTGGTACATCTCTTACACCTACCTCCATCCTGAAATTACATCATATCGCAAGCCTTCTCTCTTTTATCCTCCCCGCCCTACCGTTACGTTTTGTGGGAGGGAAAGAAAGGTTGGCTAATTGGGATTGGCCGGGTCGGGATTGTGACTGGGCTTTGTTGCGTGCGCGCCGAACTAGACCCATCATTTGTTCACTGGGCAGAACCTGGACAATTTGGAGCTGGACAACTTAGTTGTGGATTGAGGTGGCTTTCTCTCTATCTTGAGTTATACTTTGTTTGTTTTAGAGTTTTTTGTCTCTCTTCCCGGGGTGACTGCGAGGAATCAGCGGATGGAGATAGGCGCATTGACGAAGCCATGACGAGTTGAGGGGTAGGAGGGGTGATGGAAGACATTTGGGGGTTTCAGGATCTCTTTATTTTTTCCCCCAGGATAAGGCGTTTTACCCTTTTTTTTCTTTCCTTTTTTTTTCCTTTTCTTTCAACTTTCCCCCTCTCCTGATGGTTTCACGAAACAATCCAATCCAAACGATGTTAGATCACTCACAGATGATATCATACCGCACCATGGGTTCATGCGTGCATGTACTAAAACTCACGGCCTAGCGATCTGGAAGGCACAGTACGGTATCGATAAAAGTGCCACCAAAGGTCAAAAGTGCGGGCGGCTGAGGCTCTTGCATTGCGACGTTTGGGAATGGAACGTTAGGAATGAAGGAATGTTGCCCTGAAGGTTATCGACACTAGCGTATCACCAATTGCTCTAATCTACTGCATTTGGTACGATACACGTTGCTCCTCCGCCGTGCCGTCTACTATGTGACGCTGTATGGTATCAAAACATGGCTTGTCCAGGTCCCCATCTTTTGCTTCGTGGGAGTTCTGATCCTGGGTTAGGGTTATTCATGCCCACATGACAGGATTGGCCAGTGCCCCAGCCTCGTTTTGCCCTGTTGTGTTGCATAGCGCGCTCTGCTCGGAAACGGATCGATGATGGATCGGTGGGATAGACTACTCGAGTATCGTATCGTACAAATATGTTAGGTGCAAGTTGAAAGAAGGACTGAGCGGCCGGTTGTTTGAGTGCTGTTTAAGCCTAGTTTATCTACGGTGCTCAAAGTGTACTCGAGTCACGTCCCTGATTGCTTACATGATAGGTTAACGGTGCGGCTGAGGTCATAAATTATCATGTCGTAGTCTGTCTCTCTTCTCCCTTCCCCTTTTGTACAGTGGGCTGAGAATACCCTTTCCACCTCTGTAATGTAATGATGTATTGTACTCGAGTAAGCTTGTATCTGGTTAGGTTGGTTGGCTGGAAGTTTTTTGTCTGTTGGAGACGGAGGAGTGAGAGCGGGGGGAGGGGTTGGATGTCGGGCGTGCGCAGTTAAGGTTTTGGCAGGGAGGGCGACAGGATCTGGGAACATGGCGGATCACTCGTCATGGAGAGGGTGGGGCGTGTGTGGGTCAGGGTTTCTTCTGCTTGTGGTAGTTGGGGGGGGAGTGATGAGGCTTCTTTTTGCGAAGAATTATGATAGCATGTAACTTAATTCGCTACTCGAGTGCTTATCATAATTTATCTTATTATCTGATTACAGATCTAATCAGATCGTTTCCTTTATTTTTATATCCGCGACAACGAAGGAATTACGATGCGATGTATCTCTCGCAAGCCGGGTGAAATTGAGAGAAGCAAGCAAAGGAGGATGTGAGCAGAAAAACAGGATTAACAGAGATTTCGGACCCGAGAAGAAGAAAAAAACACCAACTCGGGCAGGCCGGCGGGGGATGACAAGGGACGAACTCTATGGGGGGGCTGCACGAGTGGTGCTTCACGATCGCAGCACCTACCCATCCCAGAAGAGAGCGGACGGGACAGGCAGGTAGAAATAAACGAGCGCGGTGGTGGTGGTGGGGAATCTCGAGGTTTTTGAAATTCTTGAAGACTCTCCATTCTTCTCACCATCGTAATGATTTTCTGAAGTACCATACCTATTGCTCCAAGGAACGGGTGTACGTACACTCCTGAGCTCGGTCAAGTTTGGTTTGCCATCGGAACCCACTCTGGGCGGTTATATGGGTGAATGAATGAGGTGGTGTGTGGTATATATACAGTACAGTACCTGTTCTAATCGTCGCGGTTTACCGGGAGCGCTCCGGGGGGGAGGGGGTCCGCCCGATCCGATCCTGTGTGACTGTGTCCCCCTGCCGGATATATCAAAATTGTCAGGAGATGAAGGGGGGAAGTTTTGTCCAGCTGAATCATATCTCGTGCCCGACTGCGAACCGACAGGTTTGTTGGTTCCTTTATCTATCCGGGTCTCAAGAGCTCTAGGGGACCTACGCTACTGTACTTCTTCTGGGGGGGTGTGTGTGTGGGTGCATCCATAGGGTAAAGTTATGTCTGTCTGTAGATATTACCTATACGGAAGAACCTTTTAGTTTGGGTCGTGTCCTACGGGACCTGAGGAGTGGTGTTGACCACTTTAGCGCCGACAAAGGTGAACGTTGGGTCATGGGTTATCACTCGGGGATGGTTCCGGGTATATGATACAGTACGGTGCTCGGTGGGGTGGATTGGAACTCTCCGAGTCGTGGTTTTTCCAGGAGTTTGTGAAGGTATTGGGTTGCTGCGAAGAAGAGGGCTGGTGGTTGGGAGGTATACTTGCACGATACATGTGGAATTTGAAGAGGGTGTGTGATGCAGAACTCGGTGAGTTGTGTGGGAAAGAGGGAAAAAAAAAGCGTTTTTCGACCTCTTGGTGCAGCTATTGATAGATAATCTGTTATCCCGACCGGGCCGATAGATAGCGATGTTGCTCTTGGAGTTTCGGGTTAACCTAATGATAGTTTCGATGGTTGGGTGCTTTTCTGATGTGTGACTGTTGGTGGGGGGCAATTTTGGTTGTTTTCTCGCTATCATACTTGCGGGATAGATAGGTGAATGGGTTCCCTGTAATATATTTGTGTTTGGAGAAAGCTTAATGTTGGGGATGTCACAGAACTGTCGTAGTGTTTAGTCTGCATTGCCCCAGCACAAGTGGGTTGAGGGGCAAGGGCTGGTTCTGGGATTCCCTGCAGGGTGGATTGTAGAGAGCTCTTCACACACCTTTTTCCTGTTGGAGTTATCATACTTGGAGGGTCCATGGCGGAGTTGTCGTTATTTACGGAGAGGTTTTTCTCCGGATGTCTTCTCCTGTACGTCTCGTTATGGGAGTATCATACCCATGGGAAGGGAGGACATACATGGGGAAGGCAAAGCGATAATTTGTGGTGACCCTGGAAGGATCGGGGTGTTTTTATATATTAATAATAATTATTGTCTACCGTTTGTTTTTTCAAAAGAAAAATGTCGAGAAGGGGGAACGGAGTATATAAACCACAACCTTTCCTATAGATATTCTATAATGGTCAGGACTTATCCTATCCCCCTTTCTATATACACAGCTGAGCTATTCATTAGTATTTCGGGATAGCTATTCCATGGATGGGATAGGGTGTTTTACATCGGGCTTAACATAGATATCCAGCACGATCCTGTAAATCTCCCTCTCCCCGTGCAGAAGTTTTTTTTTTTTTTTTCACCCCCTACAAATAATATCTTCCATGGGTTTTTTTTTTTTTTTTTCCCCTTGAGAATCGCATTCAATTACTATGCCAATTGCAAAGCATTTTTCTTTCTTTCTCAGAACATGTATGTTTTCACCCAACCCCCCACACTATCCTATAGTAGAAATTTCGCTCGCGCTCCTCAGCGCATGTAGTATCATACCACATAAAAATTTCCGAAGCTGAGTGTGCGATAAGTTGGCTCGAAACTGCAAACATTCTGACATGCAGTCACGAATTTTCACTCGGTCGTCGGTACCCTCCCCTCGTTAGCCGAAGCAGTATCGTATGGTACCGTGTAACAATAGGGGAAGCAAGGGGGGGGGGGAAACCCCATAATATTATTATATAAATAATCCAGGTGAGCTCAATTTCTTCTTTCTCAAAACCTCTCCGATCACTACTTCCTATCACCTTTTCAGCAGAATTCAATATTGAAATCACCCACCAATGTTCTGCGCCTTATGAAGGGGGGGGGGGGTCCGGGGAAATGGTAGTGAATCCTAAACATCATGCCCCTCCCCTCCCTCCCTCCCTACCCCGGATACTTTGCTGAAAACTCCCCAACCACAGACTCGCAGTTGCTGGAAATTGCCGTTTTTTATTCAGGCGAATGATTTATATGGTGGAGATTGCAATGAACAGACTCGACCAATCCGGCAAAAAAGATGACCGCCCCGTTCAATTCACCACCATATCAATACAAGTACGATATTGAAAAAAAATACCAGTGACGGTTTACATCTCAATCCCCGGCTGAAGAACTAAATCCCAAGGCAAACCTTCCTCCCCCCCCTGTAAAGTACCAGGACAAAACATTTCGCTGGGCCTCTGGTTTTACACCAAATTTAGCCAAAAATGGACATTTTCAAACAGACAATTCTCCATGCTACCCCGACGAAAACACTAAATATTTCCACCAGCTACATAACTACCATGTATTTAAACCTAGAGAAGTAGAGCTGCAGGGGATCAAAGTCGCGTTCATAGTTTACAATTCTGCTGACTTCTGTGAAAGTGACCTAACATTTTGTATGGGGACACCATACAAAAAGCACATGGCAACCGATACTTCGGATTCAAACAATATTTCCTCCACTTCATCACCGTAATTAAACGTTCTGCAATATCCTCCATGTTGTCTACAGGCTTACTGATGTGCAGCCAAACTTTGATAGATTCTCTTAGGCATTGTGCTGTGAGAGAGGGTGGTGAAGGTATCAGCTTTTGGTGTAAAAAAGGCAAGTTTTGTCCTAGTATGATACTATATATATACAGACAAAATGTTCCACAATCTAGCTTGGAGTAAGCGGTTGCACATGTTCCCATTCCAAAAAAAGACATATTATAAAACGTGAGAAAAACTGGCCGACGGAGTATACATGACCGCCTAGAAAATATATCGGGAGGGATTGGGAGCAAAATGCGTCCAATATGGTAGGTTCCTTTTCGGCCCATTTCTCAAATATACATGGCATGTTTCGTGGCCGGTATGGGAAATCATCATGTCCCGAGACTTGATATTGTTTCCGTGAGGTTTTATGAAAATTCCCCCTCTCAGGTACAGTACAGCACATGTTTGAGCAGCTGGGTTCCTTTCTTTCCAGCCGTAGCGGAAAGGCTTCTTTTCTCACAGAAACCCAAGTGGGCGGGGCGCGGGGGGGGGGTTAGTGTGGATCACTCGTTCCGCCGTTTGGTTTCACATACTTGTATCATACTCAATTTTGATTGAACACAAGAGCTGAGATACGAAGTCCAGTAGTGTTTCTTCTATCCTGGACAGCGAATTGTTGCCTTTTTTTTGAGATATCAGGTGTTTGTTCGCCCACGGCGTGATGGTGTTTCCATGTTTCGCTCTGAGCAAGACCTTTCGAGGAAAAATAAAAAGAATAAAAAGAAGAGAAGGCAAGTCTTCCTTCCTTCTTGCTGAAACAAGTTCCGTTGTATATGTTATGAATACCGTAGCCACCTTTCGTCGTTCATGCCTAATCACACCTCAAGGCAAAAGCCACCATCAATCGAATATACGGGATTCACAATCCCAATCTTAAAAAGCCAAATGCGGTCCCAAATCCAACTTCTCAGGGAGCCACACCATATTTGCACCATACTGGTAACCATCCACTCTGCCATCTACCCATGACCACGCTTTCTCTCCCACCAGAACGGAACAAGAAATTCCGCCCACTGCAGAGTTCTCCGAATCTTCCATCCGCTCGGGAATCCCCAGTACACAAAGCAAACCCACGGGGCGTTTTACCTACCAACCAGCACGAGAAAAAAAAAAGGGAATCTCCGAGAAAAGTGCGTTGATGCGACTGTATCCCCCCACCGTAAGAACTGGGATAATTGAGAGATCTTAGTGGGAGGTTTGAGTTGCCTCGCCCAATAAGGAAGGACTATTGTATCACTCTTTTTATCCCTCTCAAATAGGCTCTGTGTTTCTTAGAGCCATTCCTATTGCTTCCAGCTCTCACGGCGCTTCTGCCCGTGTTAATAGTGGGGGGAAGGGAATATGTAACGCGTTGAGTACAAATCGACCTGTTCCATCCCATCCCATATTTCTCAAGACTTGCAAGCTTATCCCCTACCTAGCTCGATCCTCCTGTGCGTGCCGGGTTAAGAAAAAAATTCCAGCGATGCGACTGACCACAACACCGCTACTAACTACCCTCTAGAAAAAACAATCCTCTAATCACAAAAGATCACTCGTAATAAATCCCACAGCAGCATCATACTGTATATCCTAACTACTACCCCCCCCCCATCCGCACCCCACACGCAGCTCAAAAAAGCGCGGCACCCGGACGGACAGGTAAGGTGAGCAAAGAGGAAGAAAGTTTTTTTAAAAAATGAGCACAAGTTACCAAAGTAATTGGATTCATTTTTTCCATTTTTTTCCTTTTGCGGATAACGAACGCTGGCTCTACTAAGTACAGCGCGGCACCACAGAGCAGCTCCGGCCAGAGTGCATGAGCGGGTATGATAGGTGTGGAGGTAGTGCTGGGCACGGAACTCACATGAACGTATCATACGAACCGATTCATCACGCCGGATGTGCTGTGCAAATTCGCAGAGATGTTATTTCGCCCCAGCGCTATTCGTCAGCCGACCGGGCGCTACGAGTGGTGGTAAGGATAAGGGAGAGGTTTAACCTTTATTGTATCATACGGCGCTGTGCGATCCCAAGAGGTGGTGGACTGTAGGGTAAGGTTTTCGGATGCTTGCTATGTGATATATATACCATCGCGATCTGTACTGTGCATATGCGCCGAGGGTGGCAGCGGGTTGCGGCTATGATGATGTTATGATATGATGCGGTGAAAACTAGAGTAACTTGAACCATGGGCATATTTCATATCTAACCTGGCGTGACCAACAGCTGTAGCAATAGGAATGAAATGGAAGAATCCAATTAGACTTGACAAGGGCTAACACATTTATACAGTACATCGTGTCACGCCGACTTGACCTGATGTCTCCAGGCCTGACCCCCGCCCCCTCTCGCTCATGTCGCAACCACAAAACCAAAATGAAAAGCAAAGACTGGACCCTTAAATTTCCTATCGTACACCTACCCAACAACGTCCCTAATGTGGCACACCCCACTGTCCAAATCCTTCTCCTCCCATACCCTGCACCCCACCACCGTCACCCCCCACTCCCTCACCCACTCCCTCTCCTCCGCCTTGCCCCTGTCCCTGTTGCCCCTGTTGTTGCTGCCTCCTAGCAATCTGCTGCTGGCGCTGCTGGCGATAATACACCAATATTGCCACGGCCGCCGTAAGAGCGAGTATAATCACACTCTCGACTAGATCCCCCTCATATTCCGTGTCGTAGTACTCGTCGCCAGGAATGTCCCCATCCGGCGTTGTCGCGGCGTAAATGTCGTCTGGATCTGCGTATTCGTCTGGCGCCGCTTCGTACCATTGCTTGAAGAATTCTCGGAGGGTGAGGGATTTTTTTGGTTTTGGGTCTGTTGCACAATTAGCTACTGCTGGGGAAACTGGAAAGGAGGGGGGCAGTACCCGGGTCGGCGCCAATGGCATTTATATTGCCGCCGGTGATAGTGTTCCAGAAACTGCGCAGGCGGAGTTTGAAGAGACTTAGAGTTACGGGGAGATATGCTTCGCTGTTTGTCTCGAGAGCAAGATCGTAGTAGCGCTTTGCAAGATGAAAGTCTTGCTCCACGCCTATACCGTTCTCGTGCATCCAGCCGAGATTCCAGAGCGCTTGTGCCGAAGCTTGGAGTTCACTGGCGGCGGTGTAACAACTTGCAGCCTTCGTTGCATCCTGCTCCGTGCCGACACCGCTAAGGTAGTAGTCTCCCATCTTGACCAGGGAATCGGTATTGGATTGCTTGGCGGATCGGGTCCAGTATATGAGAGCCAATTCTTGATTCCTTGGGTCTTTGGGCTTGGGGTTGAGAAGGGACTTCAGGTCCAGCTTCGACTTTTCCTGGTCAAGTAGGAATGCGACGTTTGCCTGTCCGGCTTCGTAACCCTGCTCAGCAGCCATCATGTACCCGATTATAGCACTCTCCTTATCCCCGCCGGCATACGCCTTATTGGCCCAGGCTAACGGGCTATGAAGTGGTTCGACCCTCTCCGTAACAATCTTGTAGTAGGCCGTCGCCAGCGTGCAGGAACGCTCTTTCCCGAGTCCAGAGTTGTAAATCTCGGCAAGGAAGTAGTAAGCCTCGAGAGTTCCATGACGTGCTGCAAGTTCGAAGAAGCGCTTGGCAGTGTCGATGTCATTCTGCTCCAGGAAGATCTTGCCCAAATTAATCTGGCCCTGAGGCAGATCCTGTTCGGTGGCAGTCTGGAAGAATTCAGCCGCCTTCAAACGATCCACTTTGACACCATACCCATGGAGGTACATGAATCCGAGGCCGTTTTGCGAACTTGCATCCCCCTAAATCTCAATTAGCCCCAAGCATATAACAAAAACTTTCCACGAGAGCCCAACATTCTCAATTCCAAGTTCAAACCACTTTACCGCTTGGGCGTAGTTCTTGGCAACCCCCTCGCCCCTCAAATGCATTTTCCCAAGATATCCTGCAGCCCTGCCGGCAAGCTTCTCCAAGCCCGGAGGTCCCCCAGAGATAATCTTCCCTTCCCTAGACCAATATTGCCTGGCAACATTCGTAAAATAGGTCTTGGCCTTTCTAAGGTCCCTGGGGAGATTCCTAGATCCATCATAATAAAGTTTCGCAAGACTAAAAGTGGCGGATAGATCCCCCTTGCGGGCCATAAGGTCCAAGTATTCCAGGATGTCATCCAAATCCTTGGCAGAGTCGGTCGTGGTTCCACGTCGCATAGCATTCATCCCGGACGACACCACCGAAGCACCCTCCCCGTATACACCGCCCTCGTCATCTGCGAGCCTATAGCTATGCCTGATTAACGCATGACCTCCGGGTGGGCCGGAGCGCCAATAGTCCATCGCTTTGTCGGCAACCCGCTTGTAGTAGAAAGCGGCCTCTTCGCATCGACGAGGGGTGCCGATTCCGGTATGATGGCGGAACGCAGCGGTCATCTCGGATCGAGTCTCGCCGTTGAGAGCCGCAAATGTATGATACAGTAAGGCCTACAACCCTGTCAGCACTCCACACCCCGCCCAATCTCGAGATCCCCTGGAAAACCGACCTTTGACTGATCCCTCTCCACCGCACCCCCGACACCCGTAGCGTACATGAATCCAACCATACTCTGCGCCGTCGAATTCCCAGTAAGGTCCGCCAGCTGCTTGTACTTTTCAAATGCCACAGGGTAATTCCTCGGATACGACCAATTCCCATACTGCCCCCCTGTAAATTAGCCTACCCACCCAGCACCTCCGAGAAATGGCCAAACGAAGGGAAACAAGGGAACCTACAAAATTCATCTGCGCTAGCAAATAAATCGCATCAGGACTTCTCAACACCCTCCCAGCAGTCTCAAGCTTCTCCACCGCTGCGGCCAGCTTCCTCCCCAAAACTGCGACCTTCCTCCCGCCGTCCATCGGCTCCTCCAGCGTCGAAGGAGTATACAATAACAAAACCTTAGCCGCCCGTTTAACATAACCCGCGAGTGATCCCAACAAACCATCCGTTCCTTCCCCCTCCGCCTGCCCTCTTCCCCCTCCACCTTCCCGTGCAGTATGTGTGGACCGCGAGGGGTTCGGATCAAGGGTTCGTAGGATCGCAAGTGCCTCGTTTACCAGCGCTGCCGCGGCTTGTTTCGATGGCTCATTAGCATCACCATTATCGCCACCGGTGGTGGTGGTGGTACCATCTTCGGGGGGTTTTGCGTTGAGTCGATTGTTCGGTAATCGTTCTTGGGGGGTTTGTTGATTTTGCAAAATTATCGACGATTCCAAGTCCCCTTGCGCTTTGGGAAGCGATGCTGCACCCGCTGCCGCTGCTGCGACGTTTCCAGCTAGCAGAGACACAGCTCCTCCGAGGGTGACTAGACGGTTAAGCTTCATGGTAGCAAACCAAGAGCCGGTATCCTCCCTCCAAAGAAAGTAGAACTAAAAGGAAATAAATAAATAGAGTACTGGAAAGGGAAAATGAAGAGAGAAAAAATATAGGAAGAACCCCTAGAGAAGTCAATCTCTCTATCGAGATAATGGTAGTGAGGTCATGAACGGTATTGCCTTTGTTGGCTTGCGCGTGGGGCAGGGGAGGGAAGGGGGTGCAAAAAATAGAAAAACGAAAATAAAAACGCTGAGTTGAGGGTTACGTGGAAGATAGAGTTGTCGTGTGTTGCATCACAGGGTAAATCTGGGGATGGGTGGAGAACAAGCTGGGCTGCGGGATGATATGATTTATACCTGTAGAGGCTCTTTTCTCCTTTCCTCCCTTCTTTCTTCGTTCGCTCTAGATATCGAACGACCGAATTGCTCATAATGGATTACCGGCCTTTATCCTTATCGATACAATTCTACTTATATTGTAGTGCTCGTCGTTTTCCCCCACAAAAAAAGATAACATTGGAGTCTTTTCTCGTTTGTGCTCACAAAGCACTGGTGAAGTTGAGATATCAACGAAACCAGCGAATTTATCAAACATCGGAGACTACAGATCAGTCCGTAGTGTTTAAATACCATACTCGGGATCATATTTCTCGAACTTTTAAGGGCACCTGAGAGGCATGATAACGAATTTCGTTGTCAAAATCTTGCATCGGCTTCAGGTCTCGAAGTTATTAAGCTCAAAGGACCGGCAGGTCTGAGATATTAACGGAACAAGGGAACAAACATATCAAGAAAATCCTGCGGTTATATACTGGTTTGCAGCGTCCTGATTGCTCAGGAACCCGCTTCCTAATATTCCAGGCTTTTCGAGGGGGTGATGGGTTTCGCTGTCAAAGTCGCTTTTCCGGTTACTCGGGTTGTCCGGGCCCTCAAGCTCCAAATTAGGGGGATACCGTGGTCAGGTCCATTTGCTATCTGTCTGCTGTGAGAATCCGTCACGGATACGGGTATTCGTCAAAACGCGGTCAGTGGTTGCGCTGACCCTTCATGCTGGGATAGCATCAGGGGCGCGAGGGTATTCCTCCGCAATGGAACAAAGCCCAGCAGTACAAGCAAAACCAGCCATTTATCCTATTACCAACAAACCAAACGGTTTGCGGATAGATTGAGAAGAAACTACTTTTAGAGAGTTATACCGATTCGGTTAAAATAATATCGGAATAGGTGGCAGGAAACTGAATCATCGTGATGGGTGTATCATACCAGTCATACCTTTAAGAGTACTGTACTCTAAGGTATAAACTAAATCCCGGGCCCAATTTTCAACGAAAACCACCCCTCGGAACAAGGACTCAACAATGCTAGTAGCAGAGCCACCTTTAAGATGTATGGGTTTGGTTATTGAAACTCATAATGCCGTATCCTACCGGCACCTACCCCCAAGCTCAAGATGGCCAAAATTTACTTGATCCTGATTAGTAATTTTCTCTATTGAGGACTGACTGAGAGCACTCTCACCTTGGGAAAAATTGTGTTGCATAAGCTATGATCGATTCAGCTTGCAATCCAATTTTCATTTAGGAATACCGTAAATTTACAGCATCCAAAAGGTCCCGATCGCCAGCCATCCAAGTTAGACATATCATACCAACACATATATCAAATCACCAGGTCACCGACAGCACAAAGTCATAAAGATTAAATATATGTATATATTGAATAAAGCACAATCCCTTCCCTAATGTTTTGTGCAACGCTTAAACCGGTATGCGAGCCTGCGGAGCTGGCTTACTGGATTAAAGGATAAACCTTACAATCCATATTTCACCATGCCTTTCAATTAGATTAATTCCTCAATTTATTCGCAGGCACCAGGTTTGATGTGGCTCCTATGTAGGTCGGGTCGCCAAGGGATATTATGTGAAGACTTTCCGGACAATGACTGCAGCACAGCACACGACAGTACTGTACAGTACCCGAACAGAAGAAGATGGACATACTGAGACGTTGGAACCCCCGCCCACGCGAGAGAGGAAAACACCGCAAATTCGGAGACAAAACAAGGTAAATAAGCTATCATACACACAGCACCTCACCAGGAGAGGAGCCACAGTGTCCCGTCGCAGCACCTCTATCATCTACCGGTACTCGAGTTTTCACGATGCTCTACCGCGTGTAGCACTGCGCACCGTAATCTTCAGTTGCTTTTGTTCTAGTCTAGCCTAAACATCAGTACCGGCACCCCCCCGTAATGCCAATTCGCTGGTAAAACATTGTTCGAGGCTACCCCGGTAAGGTGTTGGTTGAGGGGACCATTCTCCCATTGCACTGGCACTGGCACAGAGGGGTCTGCGAATTCGGGACAGAGGGACCTATCAAATCCCACAAGTGCCATACCATACCATACCATGCTATCTCTGTCGGGTATGGTAATGGTAGATTAAGAGCAAAGTACGGTGCGTAGACGGCCTATGGGACGCGTACCCGCACTGTACTATACGGTCGGTATTGATTGATCATGTATTCAAGCTTGCTCTTCTCCAGTAACAACGCCCCCCTCGGTGCCTTACGAGATGAGTCCCCCTCCGCAGTATCCCGGACCCCGTCAAACTTCAATGCAAGCTGATTCAATCCACCTAGCAGCAAGTTCGCCCTAATGTATCAATCAATACGGCTTGAACCTCTCGTTCTCCCTCCTCCTCTCCCTCCTCCTCTCCCTCCTCCTCTCCTTCCCTTCCGACACACCCTCCCCTCCACCCGTTTTCTCCCTCCAAACTTTGACAAGCCCATCCTCACCACCGGTGAAGACCGTCTCGGACTACCACCCATCATCAGTACCCTTCTCCCTCCTTCACCCTCTTCCCCACAAACCAGGGGATGAAAGAAAGAAAACCTACATCCTCATCAACCTAGAATGCTCTC